CAGCTGTAGGTCTGTTGGAGATTGCTTGAGGTCCACTCCAGACCCTGTTTGCCTGGATATCAGCAGCGGAGGCTGCAGAAGATAGAATATTGCTGAACAGCAAGGGTTCCTGTCTGAGTCTTGCTCTGGAAGCTTCCTCTCAGGGGTGTACCCTGCCGTGTGAGGTGTGGGGTGTCGGTCTGCACCTAGTGGGGGATGCCTCCCAGTTAGGATACTCAGGGGTCAGGGACCCACTTGAGTAGGCATTCTGTCCGTTCTCAGATCTCAACCTCCATGTTGGGAGATCCACTGCTCTCTTCAAAGCTGTCAGACAGGGTCATTTGCATCTGCAGAGGTTTCTGCTGCTTTTTGTTTAGGCTGGCGCCCTGGTCCCCAGAGGTGTGTACTCAAGAACAGGGCAGGCCCTCCTTGAGTACTGTGCTGGGCCCACCCAGTTCGAGCTTCCTGGGGGGCCCTTGTTTAACCTACTAAGCTCAGGGCAATGGCAGGGCCCTCCCCCAGGCCGCTTGCTGGCCTCTGCAGTTAGATCTCAGACTTGCTGTGCTAAGCAATGAGGAAGGGCTCGTGGGTGTGGGACCCTTGCCCAGCCAGGTTGGATACCCCCAATCCTCCTGGTGTACATTTGCTAAGACCCTTTGGGTAAAGCTCCTTTAAGGTAGGAGTTACCCGATTTTGCAGGTGTTGTGTGTCTCAGTTCCCCTGGCTAGGAAAAGGGATTCCCTTCCCCCTTGTGCTTCCCAGGTGAGGCGATGCCTCGCCCTGCTTCAGCTCTCGCTGGTCGGGCTGCACCAGCTGACAAGCACCAATTGTCCGACACTCCCCAGTGAGACGAACCCGGTACCTCAGTTGAAAATGCAGAAATCACCTGTCTTCTGTGTCTCTCACCCTGGGAGCTGGAGACTGGAGCTGTTCCTATTCAGCCATCTTGCTCTGGGTCCTGCCTTTCATGCTTTTTACCTGTTTGCCTTTCTTTCTTAATATAGTGTTTGAATGCTTCAGCTGGTGTCATGCATTTAATAGATCCTGAGACACAGACTGCACCCCTCCTCTCACAAATAACATGGAATATGTGCCACCACATTTGTTTTAAAAATAAATAATTTTTTAAAAATATGGAAGCATAACACATTTCATTTCTGAGTCCAATCAATCGTCCTCTTACTCATGTGGCAGGAAAGATAAAATCTATCCATCATGTTTGCCTCAATTTAATATTCTAATAGTGGAATATGTACTTGCTATAGAGTTGAAGAAGTATTTTGACTAGAATAGTTTAGGTGCCCCTCATATTACATTACTTGACCTACACATTGGGTTAGTCTATACATATTTGCCTTCCAGGCATGAGTAAATAAATTTTCCCTGCCCTGTTATCCCCACTTGTGGTATCCCAGAGTAACTCATTTAGTCTATATTCAGATTGATTGCAAACATTCAAAACATGTCTCCTCCCAACCCCTGACTACCCATCTTAAATGGTATACCAGTAAGCTCCAACACCTGCATTCAGGTTAGAATGTCCTAACATGCCCATCAGGGCATCATAGCCAAAAGGCTGTTGTTTACTTTTCTCACATTAATTCTCTGGTTTTATGAAGAACTAGTTCCACATAGATACATATCTCTGTATAAAGTCATGTTTAAAACAATCTCCAGTAAGTTATTCTCCCAGTAGAAATTTTGTGACTTCTATCTCAGTGAGTTTTCCTTCATTTCATAAGTATTATTTTATCCTGAACTTCTAAAGGGAGCGTCAAACAAATTAGACCTATAAGTCATATCAGTATATGACTCATTTCTGCAAAGTTATCACACTGATTTGATAATACATGCTGTCCTACATTAGTATTTGGCTTTCTTTCCTTTATGAAAATGGAGCTACCTTTATTGTTAACACCTCAAACAGGACTAACTGGTATCTGTTCTCTCTGTTCCCTGGGATTGATGTTGATTCATCAACATAAACAAAACATAAAATTATAATGCAGAGATGAAGCTAATTCAAACCAAATAAAATAGCAAGTTTATAGTTAATAAAAGGGTTGGTCAATAAACATATTTAGTAAAATGTATTTACTTAAAATGAATTATATTGATTATTGTTCTACCATATTTTTATCAAGTTCATACCTATATCTCCCGCTCAGTAAAACTGAATAATTTTTTTATAAAGACTGTACAGCTCAACAGTTAACTGTTTCCTGTATAAGATTTTCTTTTTTAAAATAATGTATTTGGCTTATATTTTTCTTTTAAAGTTTTCTTAAAGTTTAAAGGAACGATTAATATTTTATCTCTTTTTGTGTTAACCTCAGTACAAAAGTGCAGTTGATGACTTGACAAAAGGGCTGCATCTATGGCTTGAAGGTGCAGCGCTTTCAAGTCATCAACTGTATTTTTGTACTGTTGAATTTCTCCAACAGTAACAAAGGAGAGCATGCTTCCAGCTGGAGCTGAGTCCAAGCACACAGACATTCCTGCACACGCATGCGTGCAAACAAGGAAGCCCAAGTAGGAGAAGAGGAAAGAGGTTGTAGGGATTTGGGAAGAAATCTGATTATTCCCCAGAGGAAAAGACAAATCTACTTTCCTGAAATCGCCCTGAAATCTACTTCCACCCTCAGAACTTAAAATGAACAGCATCCTTCTTTTCATCTTCATTTCTTCCCCAGTGAATATGATCTCCAAACCATTATTTTTTCTTTGAACTGTAAATTTTCCACTCATGGACGATGTAACCAACAGATGCAATCTCTGAGAAGATGGAAGTCGGGGCCTCTTACTATAAAATTGACCTAGCTGGACTCAGGAAACCAGGGAAGAAGTCAATGCAGGCATTTAAAATGTAAAGCTTTTTCTGGTTAAACCTATTTATATTTCTTGTAGGTTGAGTATTTCTTCCCAATTTTTCTCCTCTGGTGTATAACAAACAGGTCAAAATTTCCCATCTTTCCTCCTGGTACTAGTTGAATCCTACATTGCATACTTAATGCATAGTGAAAAGGCATCTAGCAGAAATACACACCCCAAAAACACACCACCGTTTTATTAGGTGCCCGATAAATTCTGTATTTAGCTTATTTATTTATTGTTATTTTTGCTTTTTCTTGACCCACTACATGTGACTGCAAACGAATTAATAAATGATCCCTTCTGGAACTTTTTGGTCATTTCTTTTTTTAAATGTTTTCACTATAAAAGGTAAGCTGAAACATTGAGAAATTGTTCAAATCAGCATATTTTATAATTCACAACTACAACTTGGTAAATATTTTTACTGTAAGTAAGCACTGAAATAATGAAGTATGATGAGAGGCAGTAGTTTTTAATGCAAAGTTATACATTTAAATGTTGAGAGGGGCCAGGGACATGACATAAGAATTGTTGCCAGTTTTTCAAGAAAAGTCAAATTTTGCTTCTATAAAAAATTTTAATAAATATTCTCCTGATTTTTAAATCTCTTAGAATTAATTTTCCAAAGAACACTATGCTGTTCTGCATTGCGTGGGATACATAATTCTGTGCAATATCTGGGTGACCTTTTGTGATTTCTTACGTAATAATTGAGAATGTAGTTTTTGTAGTTAGGCAGCCTGGGGTTCAGGTCATGCAGACTCCTGTGGGTCATTGAACAAGTGACTCAACCATACTGCCCTTCATATTCTCACCTGTCACATGGGATAATAATTGTAGTTCTCTCACAGGATTTATGAGGGTTAAATGAGGTAATAATGTGTATATACAGCTTAGCACAGGATGGACACATAGTAAGTATTCAAATCCATTTGGTGATGCTGATGGAAGTGAATTAAGCAAAAACTCAATTGATGGGGTTTAAATTTGAAACAGGCAAGGAAATACTGAAATGTCTGAGTATAACTGGAATGAACTAGGATAGGTTTTCTTGGAGGTTACAAATATACACTATATTTTTATAGTTTTGCATTCATGGTTTAGGGAATTATATCTAGAAAATATATCTGTTTTCTGCTCCTTTTTCTATATAGACTCAGCATGCTGATTTTCCATGTGATGCCAGCCTATGGTGGCTGGCTAGCTTGAGACCCACCGCAACCTGACAATTGCCTTCTGAAAATTTAGATGTGACCACAGAGCATCAAGAGAGGAGGTGGAAGGGAGAATTTTTCTGTTACCTGTTATGGGTCCTCCTTGTTCCAGAAGTTAGTAATTAAAATAATGGCAATGTTCCATTATTTAAGAAGATGAAAAGAGTGGTGTCTTGGTCATTAATATGTCTTAGCATCTAGAACAGTGCTCGCACATAGCAGAATCTCAATAAACATATGTAGAGTGAATAATTGGAAAGTATTTCTTTATGATGTCACATAAGATTATTAGGTTCTATCCATATTAAACAACTTTAAGTTTTGCAGTGGTGAAGGAATAAAAGAAAGTATTTGAGATAAGCCCTGCCCACAGTTCAACAATCATACTTTTTGACATGTCTATATATAATATACCAAAAGATTGTGTCTTCATTGTTTAACCCCTTCCTCACCTCTCAGGAGGGGGCACAGAGAAGTTTAGCCTAACTCACTGACAATGAAGACTCTTCAGATCTATATGAAGCTTGAACTGTTTGTCTAGAACTTTATGATATGGTATCTTTATGCATGCAGATTTTGGAGTAAATAAAACTTAATGAAACCTATCTTGAAATTAGACATTCTGATTTTAATTATTTAAATGATTAAATCATTTTAACAACAACTTCAATTTGGAAATACAATATTCACTTTTATTGGGCACAATAATTTCCTGACTATCCCATTCTAACTACAATAATGTCCCCCACACATGATTACATTTTCTTCCTCAAAATCCACTTGCCATTTTTGTTGCTCATGGATGTAAGTAATTTCATTGGTTGACTGTTCACATGATCTTAAGCACTTAACTGTAATGCTCATGTTGTAAGCTATTAGAATGGGCTGGTTATCAAAGCGCACTTTGTAAATGGAATAGCCTTCTACATTTGTAACTTGTAGTTTTGCTGTTGTTTTGGGTGTTAATCATAATTGTTACTAACACAGTCTATAGGCATGGTGGCATTCTACATTGCTGCTTGAATGAATTCAATGTCTGGATGTGCTTGTAAATTCTGAGTAAAGATTTAGCACAATTCACTCCTTTCCATGAATTTTCCCTGTCACATATTTCTGCTTAATTTGATTGCATTTTGACATGTTTTAATATTTTGTATACAATTAGTACACTTCCTCTGTGTAATTTTATTTAGAAGGTTTTTGAGCGTTAAACCATTAAGCTAGGATAGATGTCATTTGTTCACACTTTCTTGAGATTTTATTTTCAGCAGAATTTTTCTTAAGACACTTATTACTTCCTTGTTTCTCAGGCTATAAATGAAAGGATTTAGTAAGGGAACTACTATTGTAAATAAAATGGCAGCTGGTATATCATTACCTCCTTCTTCAAGCAAATTCGGTCTAATGTATATGAAAAAAATAGATCCATAGAATAATGAAACTGATGAAAAGTGGGATGCACAGGTAGAAAAGGCTTTGGCCCTTCCCTCTTTGGATTTCATTCTGAAAATAGTAAGAAGAATATAGAGATAAGATATTAAGACACTACCTATGGTAAAGACTTGAATTGAACCTGAGAAGATGAATAGAACCAGTTCATTGATGAAAGGGTCAACACAGGAGAGTCTATACAAGGGAAGAATGTCACAGTAAAAGTGGTTGATGTGATTCGATCCACAGAAAACTAACCTAAATACAAGCCCTGCATGAATCATGGAATGCAGGTTTCCAGCTATGAAGGCCCCTGTGGTCATCTGAATGCAGAGTTTCTTGGACATCATGATGTGGTACTGCAGTGGGCTGCATATAGCCACATAGCGGTCATAGGCCATTGCTGCCAGAAGAAAGCAGTCTGCAGTTTCCACAGTGCAGAGAAAATAAAACTGTACTGTACATTCATAGAGGGAAATCCTTTTGTCCTCAGAAAAGAAGTTCTCTAACATTTTGGGGGTAATGGCACAGGCACAGCAAGAATCCACAAGAGCCAGGTTTCCCAGAAAGATGTACATTGGTGTGTGAAGTCGACGGTGTGTAAATATCAGTGCCACCATACCAATATTCCCCACCATGGTGATCAGATAGATGGCAAAGAACACCACAAACAGCAGAGTCTTCAGCTCTGGGTGATCTGTAAACCCCGTGAGGATAAACTCATTTTTCATGGTATGATTTTCTTCAGCCATTCCTGACCTCTCTGAAAAAAACGGTGGAGAAATAAGGCACCAATTTATAATATGCCACAATTATTGAGGTCTCTTTGGCTTAAAAGAAGGAGAGCATCTTCCACAAGATGAAAATAAGATTTAAAAAAACCTGACAATATTGAGTGTTATCTACGAAACAGTAAAATGGCAACCTAATTGCATTCCTAGTAAATGTATAAATTGGTGTAATCATTAGAAAATAATTTGGTAATAGATTAAAAAACTTTTAAGGTTCATACCTTTTAACCAGTAAAAATAAATCTGTCAAAAAGAAATAACTAAAACTTCAGAAAATATGTACATATAATGATGTTCATTGTAATCTCATTCATAATAGTGAAAAATTTAAACACCGAAATGGTAACCATTTAGTTAACCAGTATGATTAAATAAATGTGAATCATCCGTATAAATGTATACTGTCAAATATTTTAAATGGTGTTTTGTTAGAATATTTATTACAATAAAACAGACACAAAATATTGAATAAAAGCAAAATAAAAGGTTTTACATGCAGTATAACCTGAATTACCAAATAAATATTTACATGTAAATGTAACAGAAGGTAGTACAGAAGCACATCAAAATGTTTTTACTAGTTTTTGCTATGTATAAAAATTATTGGTCATTTTTTCCTGTTTATATTTTTCTCTATTTTAAGTTTTCTATAATAACTATTCCTCATATTCAAGAAACAATCTTTATTAAGTATATAAAATTAAGTACTCTTAGAACTGCTATGTTTTATACTTCAATAAATCCATAAAAATCATTGGGGATTCAACTAATGTTTTCTGCACTTTAGAAATCTACAGTGGAGAACATCACAATGCACTTACTGAACAAGTGCCTACTTCATTCTCATGACAATGACATTGGTAGTTACAATAATTATTTGCTGACAGTCTTGCATGTATCTCAAAACATTCAGGGTTATGTTCACATCTTGTGGTAATGCATTCTTATGATCCTTTACCTATAAAAGCAGTATCACCTTAGTGTCAACTTTTGCTCTTTTGAACATTATGATTTTATTGTATTCCTAGATTCTATTTGGAATAGATTCTAGATCACATTTGTTAAAATTTGAGGATATTTTTAAAACTTCTGTTACTAACCCCTTAGGTAGGTCCTTAAATATGGAGTTCTAATCTGTTGGGGCATGTTTTATTTCAATCTACCTTCATTTATTATAGTTACTTTTGGAAACATGTATGCATGCACTGATAATGAATGCCTGTTTTATGTTACTTTCTTTAAAAGGTAGTTGAGACTGTTCTAGACATTTACAGATTGATAATTTTCTGGATAGTAAGTGATCACAAGTACACTCCAAATTTCAGCAACAGAGAAAATGTTTTGGAGAGACATAGAAAGACCTCTTCTATTTTAGTTTCCTGAAAATATTGTTGACTTTTAAATATCAGATTATTTGGGGGATGATATCTTTAGAAACAACATTTTAAAATGAACTTTGAAATGTATATAAATATAATTTGAATACTTTTCCTTAACTAGTTACCCTTGCCAGTTTAAAGTCACATAACATAAGATTTCCTTCAGTTTTCTCGGTTGATTATAGTAAATTAAACAGATATATGGTTTATATTGGTATTTGATTTCTCTAAGAATCAAAACAGAAACAAGAACACTCCCTAAAATTATATCGGGGGTTTAAAAAGATTGGTTTGAAATTATAGTTCTTTTTCATATTTTTTTTAATACATAGGGAATGCACAATACATTTTCAACACTATTTCACTGTAGAGGTTACCTCAATATTTAAAGAAGTTTAAACATCTTCCCTAATGTATTCTGTTATTACTACAAAAGTGTGCTTTTATTTATTTTTGGATCAATGTAGGCTCCTCTTGAATTCATAAGTGATATAAATGAATTATAGTAAATTGTCTAGAGTTTACACAATAGACTTTAGATTTAGAAAAAGAATATAAGAATCTTAAAAAATTGAAAAATTAGAAATGTAAGGAAAAAGAAAACCATAAGTAACTCAAAGAAAAAATGTTTCAGGATATCAATTTTTTTAGTAATAATAAGTGTTAAATTCTCACCTCGATTTTCCTGATAAGAGTTTTATAGAGACCATCTGATTGCCTGGTATTAGTTTTTAAATTAGATGCAGCAATTAAACTATCTTTTTGATCATTTAGGAGATTATATGTACAATGAGATCAATGTTAATATTTATGTCCTTGTAGAGAATGACCCAGCTATTCAAAATAATTCTAAGAGGATTTATTTGGCATTGACATCAAAGTATAGCCTAAGAGACTTAATCTTCTGAACATTCCACACATACTAAATTGGATTAATTAGGCATATCCTTTGAGACCTGGAGAGTAAGCCAAAAATTGATTAATAAACAAACTTTAAGGTCCATATTTTGATTTTCGTTCATTTGAGTTTATACCACTTATCCTTATCATCAATCTGAATATAAAATCCTTAGTGGGAAGAAAATATTCATACTGGAGCAGTCAGCAAAGGCTTCATGGAGGAATTGTCAATTGAGCCAGGATTGGTTGCCTTGGAGGGGAGATTGCTTGTTTGAGCAGAGGCTGGAAATTAACACATTCTCCATATTTTTTTCCTTTGGTTAGTGACAGTATTTTATTTCAGGAGCTCTGGCCTTACTGTATTTTTTTAAATTTATTTCGAATTGGCTCATAAAAATTGCATATTTTTATGGTGTACAACATGATGGGTTAATATATGTATATATTGTGGAATGGCTAAATCAGGCTCATTAATATGTATTGCCTATACACTTATTATTTTTGTATGGGTGATAACTTTCAAAATTTATACTCAAATATTTTCAAGAAATCAATACATTGTTTTAACTATAATCACCATATTGTACAACAAATCTCCTGAACTAATTCCTTCAGTCTAACTAAAAGTTTGAATCATTTGATCAACATCTACCCACTTTACTATCCAACCATTCATAACCCCTCTGCTGTACTCTGCTCTATGACTATTTTAGATTGCACATATAATCAGATCATATGGTACTGGTCTTTCTGTGTCTGAATTTTTCCCGTAACCTAATGTCCTCCAGGTTGGTCCATGTTGTTGCAAATGACAGAATTTTCTTCTGTTTTAAGCACAATAGTATTCCACTGGGTATATTTATGATGTTTTCCTTATTAATTAATTTCTTGATGAACACAGGTTGATTCCATATCTTGGCTATTATAGATAATGCTACATGGTCATAGGAGTGTAGACTTTTTTGACATCTTGATTTCATTTCCTTTGAATATATACCCAGTAATGAGATTGCTGGTTAATATGGAAGTTCTATTTTTAATTGTTTAGATTTGCCTCTATGTTTTTCACAATGGCTGTATTAATTTTAATTACCATTAACAGTGTGCAAGGATTCCATTTTCTCCATATCCTCACCAACACTTGCTATCTTCTGTCTCTTCGATGATAGTCACTCCGATAGATGGAAGGTCCTGTCTTTTGGTTTTAATTTGCATGTATCTGATGATAGTGATGTTGAGCAATTGTTTATATATCCATTATTCATTCCTTCGAGAAATGTCTATTCAGGTCCTTTGTTCACTTGTAAAATCACGCTGTTTTCTTACTATTGAGTTATTTAGGTTCCTTTTGTATTTTGGATATTAATCCCTTATCAGATGTGTGGTTTGCTAATATTTTCTCCCATTTTGTGGGTTGTCTCTTAATTGTATGAATGCTTCCTTTGCTGTGCAGCAGCATTTTAGTTTAATGTAGTCCCATCTGTCTATTCTTGCTTTTGTTGTCTGTGAGTTAAAGGTTATATCCAAAAAATTGTAATCTAGACCAATGTCAAGAACCTTTTTCCTATATTTTCTCCTAATAACTTTATGGTTTCACGTTCTACATTTAAGTAATTACATTTTGAGTTGTTTTTTGAATAAAGTGTGAAATAATGGTTTACCTTTATTTTTCTTCATGTGGGTATTTACGTTTCCCAACACATTTAATAGAGAAGACTGTCCTTTCCGCATTGTATGTTCTTTGCAATTTCATTAAAAACCAATTGACCTTAAATGCATGGATTTATATCTGGGCTTTCTATGCTATTCTACTGGTTTATGTATGGAATGTCAGTACTATGCTGTTTTGATTTGTAGTAAATTTTGAAATGGGGCCAGTTTTGATTTTTTTTTGCTTTAGACTGCTTTTGTCATTTGAAATTTTTTATGGTTCCATTGTAATTTAACAATGCTTTCTATTTCTGTGAAAAATGTTATTAAAATTCTAATATTTCATTGAATCTGCAGATAGCTTTGACTTGTATGGACACTTTCACAATATTAATTCTTCCAGTACACAAACATGTGTACTGGAAGTACACATGCCTTTTGTTTTATTTGTGTCTTCAATTTCTTTTATCAATGTTTAATAGCTTTCAGTTACAGATTTTTTGCCTCATTGGTTAAAGTTATTCTTAAGTATTCTATTTTTGTTTAATGTTATTTTGAATGAGATTATTTTCTTGGTTTCTTTTTCAGATACTTTGTTGTCATTATTATACAGAAATAGTAATTTTTGTATGTTGATTTTGTATCCTGCAAACTTATGGAATAAATTATTAGTTCTAACAGTTTTTTGGTGGAGTCATTAAGGTTTTCAATACTTAAGACTATGTCACCTTCAAATACAGAAAATTTTACCACTTCCTTTCCAGTATAAATACATTTTATTGGTTTTCTTGCCTGATATCTCTGGCTAGGGCTTCCAGTTCTATTTTGCATGCAGGTAGTGAGGATGGACATTCTTGTCTTGTTTTTTATCGTTCAGAAAAAGCTTTTAGTTTTTCATGCTGAGTATGATGTTACCTCTGGGTTTGTTCTATGTGGCTTTTATTATTTTTAGGTACATTCATCTATACCTAATCTGTTGAGAGTTTTTATAATATGAAAGTATGTTGAATTTTGTCAAATGCTTTTCTGCATATATTGAGATGATTTTTTTTTAACTCTGTCATTCTGTTAATGTGGTATATCATATTTGTTGATTAGTATGTCAATCATCCTCGCCTCCCAGGGGAAAATCACACTTAATCATGGTGTGTGACCCTTTCGATGTGTTGTGGTGTTCAGTTTGCTAGTATTTTGTGGAGGACTTTTGTGTCTGTGTTCATCTGGGAGAGTAGCCTTGTAATTTTCTCTCCCTATAATGTCTCAATCTTGCTTTTACTAGTATAATGCTGGGCTCATAAACCATGTTTGGAATATTTCCCTCTCTTTAATTGTTTTGAAGAGTTTGAAAAAAATTAGCATTAATCGTTCTTTAAATTTTTTCCTAGAACTCACCAATGAAGCTATCAATTTGTGGACTTCTTTTCTTTGTAAGTTTTTTGATTACTGATTCAATCTTTTTACTTGTTATTTATCTGTTGAGATTATTTCTTTATGATTCAGGCTTGGTAAGTGGTATGCTACTAAGAATTATATATCCATTTCTTCTAGGTTAACCAATTGGTTTATATATGTATAATCATTTATAACAGTCTCTTTTGATGCTTTGTATTTTTATGATACCAGTTGTAATGTCTCCTCTTTATAATATTAGTTTTGTGAGTTGTCTTTTTATTTTTCTTAGTCTAGCTAAAGGTTTCTTGATTTATCTTTTCAAAACAACTCAGTTTCATTAATATATA